ATTTACTAGCACATTTCTTTCTTTTAATAGACTGTGATTCCATACAAAAGAATAAACTGACTTAAAGTCAACTATGTCAGGCGCATGTGTGGAGCTGTACGCGTCTCATGATGAATGTTTTTTCATTTCGCCCAATATAAGGTAATCCAAGAAAGTCTTTGATCCTGGATTCCACGCTGTGGATTCTGGACTCCAGATACTAGATTCCGGATTCCATGTCAGTTGAACTTGGATTACGGATTTTCATTGGTGCGGGATTTCGGATTCCTGGGGATGAGTTCCGGAACCCAAGAGTTAAATTCCAGAATCCAAAGCCCAAAATTCCGGATTCCACGAGCAAAAGACTTCCCGGATTGCATTGGTTGGGCGACTCATTAAAACCAAAGTGAAACTAGAAGTGGAATATGTCAGTTTTAAAGAAAGAAGAACATTTTAAACATTGAATGTTTATGTATTACCTGCATGGTTCTCAGCTAGCTTCCGCTTCCTCGCACTATCGTGCTGAGCCTCAAAGAGGACCGTCCACTGAAAGAATCAGCCAAAGACATCATTAGCGTTTTTTGTCTTACTCTTAGTCGATACGCAATTTATAGCTACGGAAAGAATGTACGATCTGAATTTTTGTCCAGAAACGACGCACATTTTCTTAAAGTTTGTCTAACTCTCAAAGTGCTAAACTTAAAGTTGAGCGTCTAAAAGTTGAGGTAACGACCCCAATCCTCACAAGTGCTTCTTTCTAACTCTTAATTTCACGCCGCTTGGCAACGAAGAAGGAATAGTAAAACGGAAGAAAAATATTGACGAGCCTCCTGATCTCGGATCTGAACTTCCGCACTGTCTCACTCAATACACATTCAAGACTTCTTTTACTGTCAGCAAATTCGGCCTGTTACCCCTGCGCCTAATCATCACACACCAAACTGACAAGAATTTATACCTGAGTAATGAGGCCAAGTGCGGAAAACACGAGGATCACTTAAAATGTGCGAGACAAGAGATGCTGCCATCACACTAGCACAGGCTTCCCAACTTTCTGCAGTCGCTTGCTCACCATCCGCAAAATCAGCTATCCCTTTAACAATGAGCCACTCGAGTTGAGAATCACGTGCAGCGGTGAAAACACCTGAAATATGGAATACAATTAGGAAGTATATCTTTTTTAGGAAATCAAGTCTTGCGGATTAAAGAAACTAAAGAATTAATTGCCTTGCGTATAAACTGCATGTGTAAATTCCAATAATTTTTGACGATTTTACTGACTTTCGCAAAAAATGTTTTTTTTTCTGATTACAACCTGGAAGTAAACCAACCAGAGACAAGAAAACGCCAAATCAAGAGATGCAATTGACCCCGACGAGAGCCAAGTACGACATGTACAGATTATGATTTTCACGCCCTTTCTTTTGATTTACCAACTGTAATCTTTCTTACAATGAATATGTTTTATTCAATTACCTCATTGTTATAAGCGAAAATTCCGTTGAAGTTCCGTTAAGGTATATGCAAGTTTGCAGCTATAAAGCTCCGCCCTCTTGATCGAAAGCTGTTTGTTTCGAAGGTCTCCAGACTATACCAAATCAGACTTAAAACAACAGAGACAAATGTTCCCCCTTTTTTTAGCGATTACATGTGCGCCTCCTGTTTAATCTTACTCTGTAATTGTTGCGCGAAAATGGCGCCAAGTGTATATCAGTTATTGCAGTCAAGTGTGTAAACACCTAAAAATCCAATATCCAATAAATCCAACCGCTAATACTTAAAGTAATTACGATGTACGTATTCAAGATAAATATTTTCGTCGCTCTTTCAATAGCCTACGCGGCAGGAGCCAGGTAGTTTTTTTGGTCCGTTTTTTTAGAGCGTGCGAGAAAAAAACACGCGAATGCCGAGAAGAGGACGGCCTTCACGCCTTTTCTCCGATCGTACGCGCGCATCCTCCCTTCATTCTAAAAAAAATGGCGCCTGCAATACTCTTTCAAAATCTTTTAGTTATGGATGTATCCCACAACAGGTGTCAAAAAGCCTACCTGCTGAGACTGCAAAGCAAAACGGCTAATAGTAATTTTTCGAATTAAAAATTACCGCTAACTTACAAACATTAACGACACATTCCAGCAGCGTTGGCCTCGGCATAAAGTAAAATATTCACAAATTTCGGCAAGTGAGTTTAAATATGAGAATATACACAATAAACAGGGTAATAAACAGGTATTCTCGTTGGAATTTGTGAATATAATTACTTCTCGTGGAGGCTAACCCTGTAAAAATTGCGTCTCCACTTCTTTTAGTCAGCGGACATAACGAACTCAAAACTGGACTCCAGGGTATTTTCATACTGAAATATTAATCAATCCCAGCCATGGAGGTAAACGTCTGCGCCTTTTATGATACTGTTGGTCTCACCTTTATGACCGAATTACAACTGAAGAATTTAAAGTAACCAACATAACCTTGTGTCCTTGTGGCGTAGGCTAGCCTACGTACGAGCAAGCTCTCCTATTTGGGCGAGCGAAGCGAGTCGCGAGGAGCCGCCCCCTTTTCTCTCGCGTGCCTCTCACGCGTCTACTTTTCACGATATCTTCTAAATGGAGAGCTTGCTCGCAGCCTAGGCGTAGGCTTGAAGCCCTTATACGACAAAGTTAATTATAATAGCTGTATAAGAACGCTATTGTTCGCAGCTAGCGTGACATGCACTCACCTTCGCCCTCCATCTCTACTCCTGCCGCGAGGGGGTGGCGGTCGACAAGTTCCTTTCGGCGCCATTGAGCTCTGATCTGCTCTGGGCCACTTAAGAACTCGCCATTGCAGTGAACTTTGACCTGACGATCTTCTGGGTTCTTTAAAGCTGCCTGCCATCCATCAGCGCAGTTCGGGATTATTTTTGAGAAACGCCTGCTCACGTGACTACTCATCCCAGCTGACTGCTCTTGGTCGCTTGTCACCACCTTGGATGCATATGTTGTTAGTTTGGCTGATACAACAACGTCTCCTAACTTAGTTTTGTCAGGATTGAGACCACTGCATACCCCAACAGATATCACGGCCTTAGGTTGTAAAATAAGGGCGGCATTCTTGACGGCAATCAGAGAGCTGCTTGGGTCAATGGTACCTTCAATGCATCTTAGCAGAGCAACTTTTACTTTCTCTTCATGACTTTGAACATTGTTGAAGTAAACGTAACCAACATCCTGGTAATAATATCTGTAGGGATCTTTTAGCTCATTGTAACAGGATAAGAACTCACAGTCCTTCACGGTTACCAGTAGAACATCAACCGGTAGATCTGGCTGTTTCACTGTTGTTGTAACATCTTTTATGGATGGAAGACCACCGGCCAGCTGTGGTGGACCAGCATCGCTGTCCTTTAAAAAGCTACACCCCTTCTTTGAAGCTTCTGACATGTCAGTTTTCGGCTAAATTCCACTGGAGACATACAAGGAAAAAGTATCACACAATTTAGCCTTACATTATACACCCATTACAACAAAGTTTTTCTAAGAATGTGGAAGTAAAACATTATGAGTGTCCACGCATTAAGAACATTACTCTTTCGGGCTAAGGTTTACATGGGATTATTTCATATCATCTTGGTAAAACAAGCAATGTACAGAAATTATGATACAGTATGCAGAGTAACCGTTGTAAACTTAAAAGTACAAGAACTACAGTTACAGTTGGAATCACATGCTGTATCTAGAGATGATTTCAATGCATATTCCACTGCACTGCATCAAGATAAAAATATTAATCTAATCAACAAGTACAATAGTTTAAAGGAAGATTAATGACATTCGTTGTCCACTTTATGGTTGACTAAGTACAATGACATATGCTTACTTCCCCCCACTTCCCCACCCCCCCCCAAAAAAAACATGTGATGCAACCCCGTGTTACAGCAAGAAAGGAGCCTCAGCACATGAGCTTTGTCTCAGTGAACAGTGAAAGAAACACAACAAAAAACTGTGCCAAATTGTTTCTGCTAGCCTGTGCAATGGTAAACAGTTCGAAGGAAAGGAAAAGGGGAAATTCGCTTCGTGAAAATGTAAAGAATTAGGATGCCCTTACAAGTGTTAATTGGCTCTCTTTTTCCTTTCTCTACTTTCGAATGCCTAACACACAGACTATGTGTAGTCTGGTTACAAACAAACATTGCCCACTGTATTCAGTCTGGGTTTTCACTGCTACAAAAGGAGGCTAAAACTAGACAATGAAGAGCAGTGAAAAATATTCTTAAGGTGAATTGAATTGAAAACAAAAACATTTCAGCTTCTTATGTCAGGGAGGTCAATTGGGCAAACTTAATTCAAATTGCTCAAGAGGCCGGGGAAATTGGGTAGCTAGGGGAGGGGAGGGGTTGTGGTAGCAGGTTTTGCCCAAAAAGACAACAAATGCATGACTTCAATAGGAATTAATTGCTTGGTCATTTCTTTTGTACTTTAATGAGCCATGCCAGAGCCTACAGTACAGCTTACATATCACAGAATATGACATGATACTTATAAACAAAGCTTTTTCAAATGACATTGTGCACTCTCTGGAAGTGCCTAGAGTGTATTGAATTTCTTTGATCAACCTCAGTCTATTAGAACATTATCTAAAACCCAAGCAGCAGGTCTTTCTCCTTACTGTTCATTACAACTTCAGGCAAATTTAAGTGTGTATTTCAGAGATGGGCATAACCGCTGGATTTTGTATCTTGAAGGTTCAATGAAGGCTCCTTCGGATATTCCCTTTGAGAGTACTCATTTTGACTCAGTTAAAATAAGGTGAGATTTTATGGTGGAAGACTCTGAAGCTAATTCAATTAAGGAATGGAAGAATGGCTTAATTAAGTTGTCCTGGGCAGCGAAGATATAAATGTATCCTTTTGTTCTAAAGGCATCAATAAAACTGCAGAGAATATTGCACATTATATTGTGGTGGAAGTTTATGGATTTAAGTCTTTTGCAAAACTTCTTCAACTTTGATACATATTTTTCAAACGGAGAGTTTTGAGAGCCTCAAAAATAGATCTTGAATGAGAAATTTCAACCACTGTGGACCAAGTTAAGGTTGGATTATTTTTCTTGCAAAGGTTTCAAAGTACAAAGCAAGGCACTGAAGAATTTTTTGTCACCTATATATCAAGATCGACTTAAAGCTGGCCAAGAGTTCTCCATTCATTCATTCATTAACAATTATTCCTCAAGTCTGAATGGGCACTGAGTCAACAGCCCATGAGGCCGAGGGCCGAATGGGCTATTGACTCAAGAGCCCATGAGGGCGAGAGGAATAATAAAAAATTGTTTTAGTTAAATCCAACTAGTTGATCACAAATATCAAGACAAATTAACAACTTCAGCTAGTTAAAGCCTAACTTAAGGCCATTGTTTTGGTTTTCAAAGCTGGCACTTTTCGCTACTAGTGGGCTATAACATATAGCCTAGTGTAGTAGCTCAGCCACTCAGAACACAACATTGATAATAGTCAGGTGGCTAAAGGCTCAGATCTATACAGAGTGGACAAAAGCACCAAACTTTGCTTGGTTGTTGTAGCTTAGGGCATGTTAGTCAATATTAGGATCAGTGCCCACAGCTACCTTTTCAGGATTAGCAGAAAATCACATAAAAAGGCAAGTAGATGGAAAAAGAAACTGTATTAATACTATTATTATTGAAACCAATGACTAACAGAAGTCAACTTAATGATATAGCAATTATGATATACAATGGTGGGTACCCTGTGCTAAAATGTCAATTCCTTGATTTTTCCCATTATTTTGATGAAAATCACATGAAAGACAAGAAAATAAAAAAAAGAAATTGTTTTATTACTGAAACCAATGACCCAAACAAGTCAACTAAATGGAAAATCCAAGAAAGGTGTTTTCAGATGTGTACTCAGTCCCAAATAGCTTTTCAAGATGGCGGCTTGAAGGTGTCTTTTCATGGACTGTTAGTATCTCCTAGAATAAATTGCCATTTTTTAGGGGAAATTGCCTACAATTTGAATCACAACAGGTTTAAGTGAAGTTTTAAGCTCTTCTTGGTGATAAATTTGTTATCGAAAGCCACATTTTTGCTTCATATTTTGTGCCGATTATGAATGACTATACTGAGTTTATTAACTTACTGGTTAGTTAAAGTTTCTGAAGCTGAGATGTTTTCTACACACCAGGATGGATATTAACTGGGATTGTTGTTATATTTGCCAAGAATCAACAAAAGAAGATCTGAGAAGCCTATTGGTTTAACCGCAGGTACAAGCATTAGGGGTGGCGAATGGTAAAATCTGAGACTTGCTGACACGCCAAGATCCTAGTTAGACTAGCTATCCGAGCCCAAGACTCTTTGGTAAAAAGTTTCGAGACTCAAAAAAAGTAAAAACAAACCATGCAAAAACGAGACTTCGAGACTCATCAAAAATGCTCCGAGATTTCGAGATCCTGCCAAAATTTTACGAGACCCACGTTTTTAGAGGTACCATTCGCCACCCCTAGCATTAATTTATAGAAAGCTCCTTGAAAATGTACTAAAAAGGCTGACTTGCGAAATAGGCATACATGTCAGAGAAACGCAAGAAGAACAGTGGAGCAGCTTGGAAGGCCGAGGAAGACAAGAAATTAAATAAAGCATTTGTTGAACTCACTGAGTACATAGCAAATGAAGTGGAGAATGATACACATTTCTTTATACTTGTCGAACTCCATATTAAGCTGTGATTCATTACAAACAAAGGCACACACGTTGCAGTCCCACTATAGTGTCAGTCTTACAAGCTCGTTTGGTGCCACAATCTCCAACTTGCTGTTTCTGGTCTGCTTCAACATGCTTGTTTCTCTTTTCTAGTTTGCTTTTTCTAACTTGGATGTAAGGTGACAGGATTGATGCAACTTTGCACTTCAGTAACGTGCACGTGTTTACTACTGTAGTGATTTCAATATCAAATTCAATTATAACAAGAACACACTCCTCTTTCTTGAATTCTAGTAAATTGTCAAGGAGCGTTCTATAAATAATTGTTCCGTTAAATTAATGGGTTTCTCAGATCCTCTCTTTTCGATTCTCACCCTAGGTACTGAATATGACAACGATCCCAACTGATTTCCATCTTGGTGTGTAGAAACGAGCTGAAACTCAATCATGATAAGACTGAAATCATGCTTATCTTGTCAATGTACCGTACTCGTCCACCCTTTAGCGACATCATTATGGGTAATGCAAGGCCAAGAACCACCACCAACAAAGCCTGGGAGTAGTATTTGATGACAACGTGCTGTTTGACGCACACGTCTCAACATTCTTTTCAGATTATCGTTTTACCAACTCAGGAACTTATCAAAGATAAGAAACTGGAGGAGTCAGTAGCGAAATTGCTGTCCATGCTTTTATTACATCTAAAACAGACTATTAAATGCAATTCCTTGCTCTGTGGTTGTAGGAAAATGCACTTGAATAAGGAACTTTTAATAATATGTTCAGAACACTGTCCCCAAGATCGTTACTCGGACTCGTAAACTTTGCAAACACATCATTTATTTGACCCTCACTGCATGGCTTCCTGTTAATTATCATGTTGTTTTTAAACTCATTTTGTCAGTTTTCAAATCACTTAATAACCTTCCACCTAGCCATCTAGCGGACAGACATTTATCAAAGGCCTTCCAGGAGCTTGTGGTCTGCATTTCCGCAGCTCTTAGAACAACCTCGAAAACTCACGGGGAAAACACTTTTTCAGTGTGCCACCCCTAAACTGTGGAACTCACTACCATTAGCTAGATTTGGGCAAGTCACCATCTTTAGCCAGTTGAAAGAAAGGACTATATATCTTTTTTGGCAATTTTTAGAGAGCAAGTCAATATTTTTGTAAAACGTCTTTAATATTTTAATATCTGCAGATCATATACCTATACTTATAGAATGTATATTTAGTTTTTTGCATGACATCTTATTATCATTATATATAAACTTTAAAGGCAAAATAATTTTAAAACACTAGATGAATTCTTGTTTCCTTCTCTTGTTCTTTATGAATTGCAAATAGATTTTAATACATGTTATTTCATGCTCAAGATATAATTTTTTTCCCCTTTAACATTGTAAAGCACCATGTGCTCAGGATATGAGCGCTATCGAAAGAAGCTATTTTCACTATTATTAATTTTAACCAGTACGAAAATAAACTCAATATAGTCATTGATAATCGGCAAAAAATGTGAACCGAAAATTTGGCTTTCGATAACAAATTTGTCACCAAGAAGAGCTTAAAACTTCACTTAAACCTGTCGTGATTCAAATTGTACACAATTTCCCAAAAAGACAGCAATTTATTCTAGCAGATACTTACAGTCCATGAAAAGACACCTTCAAGCCGCCATCTTGAAAGGCTATTAATTATTTGGGACTGATTACGCGTCCCAAAA